TGATTTTGTATGGGCTTTTTTATAGAAGAAGTGGTATTTTAGTGTTTAAGAGTTTTAGTGTGAGGATTACCGCCGGAATTTGCAGCATTAGAGTGGCAGTTCTGCTCTACGGGTGTGTTGAAAGGCTGGAGCCTGCGATGGTTTGATGAAGAGAGACGGTGGGTTCTAGTGCTTTCTCTTTCGTTTTCACGTGAGTTGCAGTGCAACCGTTGGTTGTTTTATATACAACTTTCTATTAGATGAGTACTTTATTCAATATGTTGAGTAATTAACCTAAGTTTATCTTTGAATCCTCGGAGAATACTTTTCTTTGCTACCCTCAGAATCGTATTGCATGTTGCTGGTGTGCTAATGAAGAATTGCGACAATCTTGGGTCTGCGAGGGGTGATAATTCATGATGTGGACGTGTTAGAGCTTGTACAATGGCAGTCCGTGGCTGGGTTTGGAGAGTGTTATTGGGGGTGGACAAAGCATTCATGGTTGAGAAATCCTGGATCTCCCATGGCGTCTGTTTCGTTTGTGAAGCCTTTTTCTTGCAGATGGGTTTACAAACGAATGTCGACTGGATTCGTGGTAGCGTGTAGAACCTGAGTCTTTTGGCCGTGAGAAATTGCAGTTTGGTATCTGTCACGTGTATTTTTCGCGTTTTTTACCGGATAGCATTAGAGATAGAAGCACCACCCCCTCCCGCGCCTAGCGATTGTTTGCGCAAGCAGAGAATAGAGAGCTTTCAGTGACGCACGGGTTTCTCTGTAAGAATATACTGCATCGTTAGCGGTTTTCGGTTATTATTTTGGAGGACACCGTACGGCGTGTACTGGATAAATTTTGGAATCTACGGCAGAGGCATGTCTTGCATGTATTTGGTTTTCTGTCCTGTTAGTAATGTATTTTTTCTACTAGACCTTGTTGCCGTTGTGACAAGGTTCAGAGTCGATTTAGGGTCTTGCAGAAAATTTTGTTTTGTAACAAGACTGTTTCCTTGTGTGTTGCAGGCTGTATCTCTGACTACGGTGTTGCGTCTAGCATATCAGAGCCTTGGGGTGGTCTATGGAGACTTGGGCACATCACCATTGTATGTATTCAAGAGCACTTTTGCTAATGTAGGAGTGAGCAACAAGAGTGACATAATTGGAGCTTTATCTCTCATCATCTACACTCTTACCATAATTCCTCTGATCAAATACGTCCTTATTGTGTTGAGAGCTAACGACAATGGTGAAGGTAGTTGCTTCCACTCTTGCATTTCGAATGCTGATTTGATTTCTTGTGCTGATTCATCGGCGTACTCCACTTGCCTGCATTATCGATATTCGTTGTAAAATCCCAAAATCCTGGAAGGTCATGTAGTCCTCACTTGGACTATCTTGTTTGGCGCAGGGGGTTCTTTTGCTCTTTACTCTATTCTCTGTCGGTACTGTAACATAAGTTCCCTACCAAATCAACATCCTTCCGATGTGGAACTCACCACATACCTTGTTGACAACGTCAACCGCAAAACCTGGATGCAGAGGAAGCTGGAGAACAGTATCACTGCGCAGAAAGTGCTGTTAGCCATTGTTATCTTCGGGACCTGCATGGTGATTGGCGACGGTATATTAACCCCATCAATCTCAGGTAAGCAGTCGATTTTCCAACTTACTAGGCAAGGTTTCACAGTAGAAACAAAATCCATTTTCCAGTGGCTTGCCTTGCACCTGACTGTAAAGGGTAGAGATTTAGGGTTTGAGGAGTGATTTCAATAAAATCGAAATGTTTCTCGAGATTTTTGCTATTGTAATGCATTTGAGTTTCAATCGCTAACCAATAGTATCTTCCTTGATGAGATGGTCTCCTGTTTCCAGAACCTGATGCTTATTCAAAGATGACACAATATGATGTTCTGTCTATCTGGATCACTTGAAGGAGATGCAAGTGGCATTGCACAAGTCTGATGATGCTTCATCTTTTGCACTCTGCAGTCTTGTCAGCAGTTGTTGGGATCAAAGCTGCTTCTTCCAACTTGGATACAAGTGATTATCTTAACCTTATCATGCAGTGTCTTGCTTCTAATGTCTACAGTTTTAACTCTAATTCTTCACGTAACAGCTTTTGTTTACCTTAGCAACCAATTCTAATATGCGTTTGTACGTTTTTTTCCTTCAGATTTCATGGTCCGTTGATGAATTCATTCAAGTCTCCTCTAATCTTTCAGCACTGTCTCCGCAGATTTGGTGACGGTCATCTCATGTCTCATCCTGGTTATACTCTTCAGCCTGCAGCGCTTCGGCACAGACAGAATCTCATTCTTGTTTGCGCCAATATTTCTCACTTGGTTTCTATCGCTTGCTCTTATTGGTTGCTACAACATAATTAAATGGGAGAAATCAATCTTCTTAGCCTTAAATCCCCTCGAAATCGTATACTTCTTTAGAAGAAACGGAAGACAAGGGTGGGAGCATCTAGGAGGCATTGTGCTTTGTATGACAGGTATGGATGCTACTTTTACTAGCACAGCCCTATTCTTTACTCAAAAATTATACCAAACTGACTACATTATTGAGTGTTCACGTTTATCTAACTGATGTCTAAATACATGCTGAATTAGTCTCATGAATTGAATATATAGAGTGGATTCTTAACGCTACGTTTGGACTCAACTTTGCCAGGGACGGAAGCGATGTTTGCCGATTTGGGTCACTTCAGTTTCCGGTCTATTCAGGTGAAGCCAAATATGTGAACTGGATATTTGGTTCTTCGCAAAATAGATTTTGTCCCTTAAAGCAGTTGGATTGTTCTCTGTAACTCTCATGAGAAGTGTTGGTTTTCGTGCAGATTGCCTTCACTTCTTTAGTATATCCCTGCCTAATTCTGACTTATCTTGGGCAGTCTGCATACCTTGTGGAACACATGGAACACGTCAACGACCCTTTCTATGCCTCCCTTCCACGTATGATCGTCAATTCTTCCTGTTAATCAACTATGATCGTATGATCGTAGCTGTTATTCAACTTTCACTGTGCTGGTGTGCATTTTGAGAGAAAGAAACATCTTTGTTCTGTCCCAAGTGGAGTTACACTTACAAAGTTTCTTAGGCCGATTTCATTTTCTTACATTCTGTTGTTGTCGTTCTTTACAGGTAGGATATACTGGCCAATCTTTGTCTTGGCAACAATCTCAGCCATGATTGCAAGCCAAGCCATAATCACCGCTACGTTTTCCATCGTCAAGCAATCGGCAGCCTTGGGATGTTTCCCACGCGTGAAGGTTGTGCACACATCGAACAACATCGTGGGGCAAGTATACATACCCGAAATCAACTGGATACTTATGGTTCTATGTCTCAGCGTCACAGCTGGTTTTCGAGACACGGATGAAATCGGCAACGCTTACGGTAAAGGATTCTCGTTTTCTCCTCTAAAACCTAACAGGTCCTTCTCTTCTTAACATAGTACCTAATCTGAATATCTAATCTAAACTACATTAATGTTTCCGTCTATGTGTGCAGGCATTGCCGTTGTCATGGTCATGATCGTCACCACCCTACTCATGACTCTGGTGATAGTCATCATCTGGCGCAAGCACTTCCTCCTCGCCTTGCTATTCTTAATTGTATTTGCATCAATCGAAGGAGTTTACATCAGTGCGGTCCTGTTCAAGACAACTCAAGGAGGCTGGGTGCCTCTTGTCATTGCTGCAGTCTTTGGCACCGTCATGTACACATGGCATTACGGAACGTCAAAACGTTACGAGTACGAGATGCAACACAAAGTTTCGGTGGGATGGTTGCTCGGACTGGGGCCCAGTCTTGGCCTGGTGCGCGTCCCTGGTATTGGTCTTATGTATACGGATCTCGCCCACGGAGTTCCGCCGTTGTTTTCGCATTTCATCACCAACCTCCCTGCCATTCATTCCACAGTCGTCTTCGTCTGTGTGAAGTACTTACCGGTAAACACGGTGCCACAAGCAGAAAGGTTTCTAGTCCGTCGCATTGGAACGAGGGCTTACTCTATGTATCGCTGTGCGGCGCGGTATGGGTACAAAGATATACACAAGAAGGACGATGATTTTGAGCAATTACTCATCCGTAGCTTGATTAAGTTTGTTGAGATTGAATCCAAACGAGAGACCTCGGACCTAGAATCCATGGCAGCCAGTTGGACTCCTGAGGAGCAGCAGAGCGTTGCGTCACTGCCAGCCATGCCGACGGAATCTTCAAACCGGTTGAATTTGCTAAGGTTGCTGAGATTGCACGGGCTTATGGGAGAAGGAAACTCCATCGACGAAGGTTGCTGCACTGAATATCCCGTGTCAGACATCAATTTGGCCACCACATCGACTTATCAAGAAGGTAGCATTCAAACACAAAGCGTCAACGGCACCAGTTCTGATTCACAAGACGAAGTTGCCTTTCTCAACTCGTGCAAAGAATCTGGAGTCGTCTACATCCTCGGCAACAACGTTGTCAAAGCGAGAAAGGATGCGAGCCTCTTCAAGAAGGTGGTCATCAATTATATCTACACCTTCCTGCGGAGGATAAGTAGAGATAGTCACGTGGTGCTCAACATCCCGCACGAGTGCCTGCTTCATGTCGGCATGGTGTACTATGTGTGAATCTTTTGGGCTATGGGTTTGTATAGGCGGGGTTAAACTGGGTGACTCCGATGCTTCACCCCTGCAACGAAAGGGTGTAAAAGCAGTAAGCAGAGAGTCTTCATCAAAAGAGGTTATGTACCATAGTAGGTGGGTGCGAGGCGAGGTTTTGGTCACATCCTCGGGTCCAAATGTGGCTTGTACATTGAAAGTATACAATTGCAGGAAAGCAAATACGATGAGAAAGAGAGAGAGAGAGAGAGAGAGAGAGAGAGCAGATGCTCCACATGTACCCACGTTGTCAGCTTGCGTTGGTCGCAAGACTCTGTCAATTCCGGTTGAGAGATAATCTGATGATGCTTGTGGCTGCTCTCTGTTGGCCGATTGATCAATTGGCTGTATTGACCTACCTGTTCGGATGTTAGCATGAAAGTTGAGCATTCAATATGGATTGATAGTTTTCTAGCATTTGTTTTATGTATCAGCTTAAACGACGATAGCATTCAATTTTCATTGCCATAGTTTGGTAACAAATTAGTAAATTTTACTCAGAAATGTTTTTATTCATGCAATTTTCAATCGATTTGTAGAGATTTAAAGTATTCGTGAACTGAAATAGGACGAATATGTATATGACAATTTGAACTAATGATGTATTACAATATTTTTGTGGTGAAGAACATTTTGTTCTATAACTACAGTTAATCTTAAAACTTTGTTTCTTTATTGATGGTAGTTAGATGATGCTTGAAGTTAGCAAAAGAGGGTAGAATTGTGTCACTTCATAAAATTTTGTAAAGAAGCGCATTACTTATAGAAAAGAAGTGTAAATGTTCTAAATTTTTATATTTTCTAACATTTTCTTAACAACATTAAGGAAATGTTAAGTTAAGTTTGAAGAAAGTAGAAAATCAAAAAAAAAAAAAAAATGACTAAAGACAAAAATGATTTAAGAGATTTTAAATTTGTGAAAATATAACTTTCAAGATTTTATTGATTAGTTTACTTTATTTTATTTTATTTTAAATAAATAAATAAAACATAACACTTTGACAAACTTTTCAATATTATTCTTTTAATACATCTATTATTCAAAAACTAAATTATAGCCATAACAAAACAAAATAATTAAATGCTAAGTAGAAGTTTTTATTATATCTTTAAATTTTATTATTCTATAATGATTTATATAAATTTTTATTATTTAAAATTTAATTAATTTCATTTGAATACATGAGTATGTCCATGACATTATCCCCCCTTCTAGGGACGAGTTCCATGAGGAGCGGTCATCATATGTTGAAAAAATCTATGATGCGACAAATTGTATTCGCCACATACTCTAATCTTTGTTCTCTTCAAAGATGATTGATAGGGCCTCTCAACCATCGGTAGTGTCCCATACTAGAGCAGGAAGACCACCCAATTATTTGATCATTGTTGAGGCCTTCATAACTTCCTTCGAATAGAACATTTGGAACACCATCATAAGTTGTTCTTACTTCGAGTAAATCACCAAACATCGGGAGTCTCTTCCCAAGTCGTGATACCAAACGCGTTGTATCTCGCCATCTATTCGAGGAAGAACATGTCGTTCTTGAAGATCTTCATCTCGATTGCGTCGTCTTGAAGGTTGTAACAATCATAACGTCTCATCTGGCAGGTCAGCAAATGAAGGCTCTTGAATCGAATCCGCTGGTTGTTGATTCTCCATCTTCCGAGCTTCACAACTACAAAGAAACTATAAACAAGGATTGAAAGTAGAATATTATCTTGCCTAGATGTTGTTTCTTTTATAAAGAAGGTTTTCATCTTGACTTTGATGGATGTCGTTGATGAAAAGTCTCCACCGCCTTTGCTGTATTTGCAAGATTCTTTACTGGCTCCTATGTGCTTTCACTAATATTATATCCGTGCCAATGGACAAGATATTTTAATTTATTTCAGCACCGCCTTGAATCTAAGACTTCTTCTACTTCAAACTCTTCATTATTGTCCACTTCTATAGGAGGAGGTGGAGCTTGTCGTCTTTTTGGTCTGTCCACTGTCTTGTATGGTTTAAGAAGAGACATGTGGAATACTAGATGGATTTTCATTGACTCCGGTAGATGTAAACGATATGCGAGTGGATTGATTTGTGTAGAAATAGAAAATGGTCTCAACCTTCGATAGTCCAACTTGTCACAAGGACGAGTGGTCTTGATAATTCGACAAAGTAGCCATACCTTATCACCCAAGTGAAATGGTGGTTGTTCTTTTCAATAGACATCTGCATTGACCTTTTGTTGTTCTTGAACCTCTTTTAACTACACCTTCATCGTTGCATATAGCTCTGACAAATGAATCGCCAAATCTTTCGCAGCAAGATTATCAACTTTTGAAAAGTCAAAAGTATCAAGTCGTACATGATAACCATAATTAACAAAGAAAGGTGTTTGTTTTATAGAAGAATGTACCGTGTTATTGTAAGCAAACTTTGCCAATGGCAAAAGAGTTGTCCAATCAACTTGTTGGTAGTTAATAGTACATCTTAAATATTGCTCCAAAACTTGATTAACACGCTCTGTTTGTCCATCAGTTTGAAGATGGAATGCCAAAGATAGTTTTATATCCACTTTTAGAATCTTAAAAAGAGTCTGCCAAAATCTTGATACAAATTGACTTCTCCTATCTGAAATAATATCCTTGGGTAATCCATAATAGCGATAGATATTGTCAAGAAAGAACTTAGTTGTTTCTTCACCTGTGATAGATTTTGTACATGGTACAAAATATGCCATCTTGATTAAACGAGCTACTATCACGAATATAGAGTCATAAGAATCTGAGATTGGAAGATCCGTGATGAAGTCCATAGAAACAGAAGACCATGATTGTTCTGGAGTGAGTAATGGCTGAAGAAGTCCAAAAGGTCGATGATGATGAGTTTTTGATCTTGAGCAAATATCAAATGATTGTACAAAATCTTTGACTACCTTCCACATTTGAGGTCACCAAAAATCCCTAGATATCAGCTCCAAAGTCTTATTGTATCCAAAATGTCCTATTATTGGGAAAGCGTGACGAGCTTGAAGAATACATAAACGTGCTTCTCCTTCTGGAACATATAGGCGTCCTTCAAAATAGAATAGGTTGTTTTTGAACTCAAATTTAGAGGGATCATGAGATTTAAAAGAATTATTCTTGATATCATGAACAAGAGGGTCTAAAGACATACTTAACTGGACTTGCTTGAGAAAAGTTAAATCAATAGTCAATGTTGATTTTATTGCTCAAAGATGAAATTGCTCTGACTTCAAGACAACCGTTCTTTGTTGCTCAAAAGCTGCATCTCCTTCTTTTGGTACAAGATAAGAATGTCTAGACAAGGCATCAGATAAATCTTGTTATTTTTCTGGCCGATAAATGATGATGAACTCGAATCTTGATAAAGACATGCTCCAATGAGCTTGGCGATGATTTAATACGCGTGTTGACATGAAATACTCGAGCTTCTTGTGATCCGTATACACAATGACTGGACTGGAAGTGCCTTCTAGATAATGATGCTATTCTTGAAAAGAATCCACAATTATAAGAAGTTCTTTGTCATGGATCTCATAATTGATTTTTGTTGCTGAGAATTTTCTTGAATGAAAGGCTACTGGATGAAGTTTGTCATCTGTTTCCATTTGTGACAAAATCGCACCCAGAGCAAAGTCTGATGCATCTGTTTCCATAAAGAACGCTTTAGAAAAATCAACACGATACAAGATTGGTGCAGAAACAAACGCTATCTTCAAAGATTCAAAAGCAACTTCCGCTTCTTGATTCCATTGGAGTTTGTCTTTACAAGTCAAACGTGTAAGTGGAGCTATAACTCGAGAGAAGTCTTTGATGAAGATCCAATAGTAGTTGGCAAATCCCAAAAAGCATTGGACATCTCTTACTGTTTTTGGGATCTTCCAATCTATAATAGTTTGAATTTTCTTAGGATCCATCATAAGTCCATCATTTGAAATGATCTAACCTAAAAAATCAACTTGAGTAGTATAGAATATACACTTTTCTATCTTGGCATAGAGTCCCACATCTCTTAATTTTTGTAACACATGACAAACATGAAGTTCATGTTTTTTTGGATTCTTAGAATAAATCAAGATGTCGTCTAGATAACAGACCACAAAATCTTCCAAAAACTCTCAAAAAACATCATTCATTAGATGTTGAAAATTTGTTGGTGCCTTTGTAAGTTTAAAAGGCATGACGTTGTATTCAAAATATCCACACCTAGTTCGAAATGCAGTCTTCTATTCATCTCTTTCTTTGATGCGTATTAGATTGTATGTTCCCTAGAGATTTATTTTTGTATAGATCTTAGCTTGATTCAGCTGATCAAGAAGTCCTGATATTAAAGGTAGTGGATACCTGTTCTTGATGGTAATCTTGTTGAGTCCTCAATAATCAACACACATCCACAATGATCCATCTTTTTTCTTCACAAATAGAATTGGAGCTCCTGCTTGAGATTTAGAATGGCATATGAAATTTTTGGTTAGATTTTCTTCAATATACTCCTTGAGTTCAGTCAACTCATTTTGTGATAAATTGTAGATTGGTCCAAATGGCGATTGTGCTCCTTCTTGAAGGTCAATTGAGCAATCATAGGGACAATGTTTTGGGAGTGTATTCGCATTCTTTTTTTCAAATATATCTTGAAATTCTTGATATTGGCTTGGAATGCCACGTGAAATCTTTGCACCATTAGAAACGGGTGTGGCATAAATAATATATGGTGATTCTTTCATAGCAGCATGCAAGAAAACTTTTGCACCTATAAACATGGGTTTAATTGAACTGGACTTATAACTCTCTACTTCATTAATTACACTGTTAGTTATACTTTTAGAAAAAGTAAGAATTTGGGAAATCCAATCTATTTGAGGGTTGTATTTTTCTAACCACGATAAACCTAAAATGACTAGATTATAGAGAGATCTAATGATATTAAATACTACAAAGCTATTATGACCATTGATTATTACTTCTATAGGAAGGATTTCGTGAGTAATATCTATAGAAGACAATGAACGACCATCTATGACTTCTACATGAACAGGTTTAGTTTTCTTTATTAAAGATATGCTATGTCTTTTAGTAAATTTTTCATCTAAGAAACATACTAAGGCTCGTGAATCTAACAAGACAGAGGCTTTGTAATGTTTAGGTCCTAAAATAACATTTAATGTAAAACAAGGAGAGAGCTCTGAGGAGAGAATAGGATCTTTACTAGATATTGTACAAGGTTTCAGCGATACGGTCTCTATTATAGTTGGACAAACTCATTTTCCAACATATTGTCTTCTTTGATAGCCATACTCCTCATTTTGTGGTTGCATTGTTTCTTTGGACAATGTTGAGCAGTGTGTTTTGATTCTTCACAATATAAACATAATCCTTCTTAACGACGACGAGTCTTTTCTTGCTCAGTAAGAGGTTTGAAATGTACTTCATCAATTTGCATATCCTCTACTTCCAAACGTATGTGTTGAAGAGATGTTGGTGTTACCATTGAA